CGCAACTTGGAGTTAAGTCAATAAAGGGTTAAGTGCTCACACGCGTGGCCAACTAGCAGGTCCAAGGGGTGCAGCGGCAGGCACCGTACGTAATGTTCAGAGGGGTGGGCTTCACGCCTCCCCGCCGAGCGCTCCCACGAAGGAGGAGTTGGTGGGCAAGGAGATGAGGTTTAAGTCCAATGGGTTAAACCCAGCCCCTAAGGGGTTAAAACTACCCGATGACGCTGCCTCCGAGGGGCCGAATCCACAAAGGGTTAAATCCCCTGCCGCAGAGCCCACAAGGGGTTAAAGTCCCAGAGCCGCCTCCTCCCACTTCCACGGGTGTCGCTCCAACCCAAGCTCCCAGTAACCCAGGCCGGGCCGGAGCCTTAGCCGAGGACAGGCAAACTCATCTCCCCTCTGGCTCGATGCTCCGCTCGGTTCTCCTCCGCCTCCTCCTCTTTTCCTCCCTCCCTCCTCCCCCTTCAGACAGCTCTTCTTCCGCCTCCTCCTCCTGCTTCCCCTCCCAACCTGATTTTCCACCTGCCAACTTCCAACTGCTGTCTCCCAGCCCTCAGCGCCTCTTATATATAGAAGCTTGCTAGCCCCGCCCATGCGCATGCGTAACGGAGTCCCGGTGTGGGGCCGCCGGGAGTCGTAGTCCCCTTCTTTCGGGCCCGCCGTCCTCGCGCGCCGTGCAACGTAGCCAATCGTAGAGCGCGTAGGGGGCGTCTCCCAGGCAGCCTCCTTCCACCGCTTTGCAGTCGCTGAAGAAACGTGAGCAGCCATTGGGCAAGAGTTATTCGTCTCTCCGAGGAGGGAAGACCAATCGCAGAGGAGATGGGGCGGATTCTGGACCGTACCATTGTGCTTCAGGAATACAAGAAGATTCCATGACCTTTGGGAGCCTAGACAGAATATTTTTATTAAAAGGTGCGTTTAAAAGACCACTGTCGTATTCCGTTCTCAGCGGAAAGGTTCTGATGGTCATAGACGGTTTTCAACTAGTGCAAAAATGGTTTGTCCCTAAAAAGTAGTCCCTGAAGTGTAAAAAAGGATTAAAACGTATAAAAGGAGATGTTAGTCATAATTACTGACATTGGATTCTTAAAATTACAATAATGTCTCTACGGCATGGGGCGAGTTCCTGGGAGAGAGATAAGCGGAAGGATATTGTGGACAAATATTTATTTGGAAAAAAATCCGATAAGCGCATGAAGAAGTAAACAAATGAAGAATTAAGAAGTGCCGCCTTAAAGGGACAGTGTCCCGGACTGTCGTACATCAGTGTCAGACTAGGCCTCGGGAGACGAGAGGGCGGGTTCGAGTCCTGAGTGACGTCGGCCCCCAGGCCACCCTGGGGACCCTTGGGTGAGAGCAGCCACCCTGGCCAAGAGCCATCGCCGCACCAGAGGTGAAAGCAAAGCGGTCACCCGCGGCCTAGCGTTTCCCCCGAGCACCACCGAAAGCGCGTGGTGGGGTGAGGGACTCGCCCCGAACCCCGGACTCGGCCGAAGAAAATGGCCTCCCGGGGCCTCGGCCTGGTCGCTGAGTCCGCCAACCTTTCCCTAGCAGCGACTGGGGGTTCCGGGCCAGTCTTGATGCTCGTCTGTATTGGGGAGGGATCCAGAAATCACTGCGTTTACGATGTCGTCCACAAAGATGGGACTGGGGAAAAGAGGCTTCGAGAGGAGGGCTGGACGCTTTCCCTGGAGCTGGGTGTGCTTGGCCCAGGGCCAGGGAGGATTGGGGGTGAAATGGGATCCTATTTCCCCCTTAAAAGTAGTTCAGATTCTGATCTCCCACTCAAGAACCCGGAGAACTCTCTTAATCCCCTTGGCGAAATTGCCGCTTTTTCCTTTGCTTGAGTACCTAGAGACCCATGCTTCCTATTCCTTCTTACATTCCAGCCATAATTCAGTGGGATCCTATGCACGGAACTATTGGGCCACCACAGCCATGTGAGACACACCAGGATTTAGCCTCCATTTTAGATATAAGACTTGGAGAAATGAAATGACTTATCCAAGGTCACCTGACAATTAAGTGGCAGGTCAAACTAGAGCTCCTGTCTTCCTGATGCCCAATACTTTTTTTTTTTTTTTTTTTTTTTTTTTTTTTTTTTTTTTTTTGTCAAAAATACAAAATTCAAGGCCTGGAGAGCTGGCTCAGCAATTAAGAGTATTGGTACCCACGTGGTAGCTCACGATTGTCTCCAGATCCAGGGGATTGGATGCCCTCCATAGGCACCAGGCATGTATGTGATTCAGACATACATGCAGGGAAAAAACCTCAGATATGTAAAATAACAAAAATAAAACACAAAATCCTTTCCTCCCACTCCCTCAAGAACTCTGGATTGTTTCTTTTCATCTTCATTTAACCTTCAAATCGTTGGAAACGATGCCTTTGACGATCATTTGTTAGGGCAAAAAAGATATTTTTTGAGCTTCAAGTTGCTCAGACTACACTAAGAAACCCAACCACTGCTGGGCATTGGTGGCGCAGGCCTTTAACCCCAGAACTTGGGAGGCAGAGGCAGGTGGATCTCTGTGAGTTGGAGGCCAGCCTGGTCTACAAGAGCTAGTTCCAGGACAGCCTCTAAAGCCACAGAGAAACCCTGTTTTAAAAAAAAAAAAAAAAAAAAAAAAAGCAAAAACAAAAAAAGAAAGTCTATGCAGCAACTGTGTGAGCCAAACCGCTTGGGACTTGGGAATTTGTGGACAGGTGTTGTGGAGCAATTGACTTGGAAGTAGCATGAAGAACATTTTTCTTTGTGTTTGTTTTGTGTCTGAGGCAAGGCATCAGTATATAGTGACGTCTTTGCCTCAGCCTCCACAGTAGTTCTAACTACAGAAGCATGTTACCTCTGGGGTTAAAGGCCTTTTATGAAGAGGAAAAGGCTTAGGAACGCCAGAGGGGTGGGGGTGGGGGTAGCAGTTTAGTGCAAGACTGACTGTCTCCAGGGGGAAGCAAGCAGGAATGCCCTCGGGGAACATGCAGATGTTTTGAAAATGACCATTCTAGCTTGTTTTCCACGTATTTCCAGAAACTCAGGTCTGTCTGAAAAGCCTGCCTTTCTCTGTCCTCATCCATTAGGAGGCACCAAGGGATGAAGATTAAAGAGGAGAGGGGGCTCTGGATGTGGGAGAAGATTGCTCAGCAGTTAAGAGCACTGTGTTTTTCAGAGGACCTGGGCTCGGTTTCCCAACATCCGTGTGGCAGTTCACACACTGTAAATCCAGTTCCAAGGGATCTGGTACTCTGTTCTGACCTCCACCAGCACCAGGCATGTAGGGCACAGGGACACATGCAAAGAAAACACTCATTTGAATAAAGTGTATCTTAATTTTTTTGTTTTGTTTTTCAAGACAGGGTTTCTCTGTAGCTTTGGAGCCTGTCCTGGAACTCACTATATAGACCAGGCTGGCCTGGAACTCACAGAGATCCGCTTGCCTCTACCTCCCAAGTGCTGGGCTTAAAGGTGTGTGCCAACACCGCCTGGCAAAAATTTTTAAGAGGAGCTGGGTAGTGGCCTTTAATCCCAGCACTTGGGAGGTAGAGGCAGGTGGGTCTCTTGGGTTTGAGGCCAGTCTGGTCTACAGAGTGAGTTCAAGGATATCCAGGTTTATACAAGTGAAACCCTGTCTCAAAAAGCAAAACAGCCAAAGTTTTTTTAAGAGGAAATGAGGTCTTTGCAGATAACTTGATTGGGAGAACAAAACTTCCAAACTTCAGGTTTTAGAGGATTTGGGTACTCACAGTCAGTGATGTAGAAGTTAAAGTTGAACCTAGACTAAGTTTATTAGACAGGGCTAAGTAGTGTAGGGGTTGGGGGGGGGTCTCCTCGATAATGGGAGAGACATGATCACCAGGCTGTAGAATTCCAGAACATCTAGCCTTTGCCAAGCATTTCCCACTCTCCAATCATTGTTAAACCTCTCGTTTGCCTTAGGATGAAGAGACCGTTCCCAGTTCACAAACAGGTCGATCCAGACTCAAAACAGTTAATCTTTTAGTCCCAATTTGCAGAGCCAGCATGTGAGTTGTGAGCTGACTTCTACTTTCCCTGCTCCCGAATCCTAGCCCTAATTTGATCGGCTCCCACTGCCCAGCTGATGTCTGCCTTTAGCACAGGTTATTTTCAACCCTCTTGCTTGTGACCCTGGACTGTGTCCTGCAGTACCTGTGAGTGGTGTCTGTCCTTAGGGTACCCTCCTGCTGCTGAAGCCCCAAAGAGTGACTATTTTCCATGAGGCCTAAGGATAGCCCAGCCTGGGGAAGTGGTCAGACCCACAGTGTTAAGGAACTCTCCAGTAGCCTTGCCTTTCTCCAAGATCAAGGAAGAACCTGGAGCCCAGGTGGTAGCAGCTGCCAGTAGCTAGCCGTCCGTCATCGGCTCTGAGCACTAGGAGGTGCTGGAGTAGTCCTTCTAAAGCTGAATACAGGCTAGTGGCTGCAGCCAGATTGACACAGAATATCCGACCAGAGGCCAAGGCCAAGGCCACTTAAGACAGCTGGCAAAAGTTCCAAAGCCAAGCAGCTCAAGAGGTCTGTGTGGGCACTAGGTCCACCACAACTGGGGGGGTCCAGGCAATAGAAGACCTGCCCCAATTGGGTCCGGGCCTTCTAGAAAGTTCTCTGGGAAGAACAGAGGTCATGAGAGAGAGTAACAACTAAGAAGAAAGGACTCGGGGAGAGGCAGCATCATTTGGAGCCCAGAGCGGGTTACCCCAATCCTTAGTTGATTTTGCAGAATTGGGCCAGCAGTCTCCCTTTGGGGCGGGGCCAACAACGCCCAGCTCGCGGTAAGAGCTCCAAGCCTCTAAGCGTGTGCCCCCACCCCCTCCCACCCTGTGCTCCCTGACCCCCAGCGTGAGGCCCGTTTTCTCCGGGTTCCTTATAAGGAAGCCCTAGCTTCTGCAGGGTACTTAGGGACGGAGTGGGACCGGACTTGTGTTTTGCGCGACCCCCACCCCCACCCGTTTCCCGCTCTTTTCGTGGGCACCCAGACGGCAGACTGAGGTTTTCTTTTGTTTAATGAAGCGTTCAATTGCACGTGAATCTCCAGTGAAGTCCTGAGCGCGGTGTGTACTTGTGCTTGTGTACGGGGCGTCCCAGCCCCCAGCCTGCACACTCCTCCCATTCTTCCCTGCTCCTCCAACCAATCAGTCTTCAGGCCAGGTCCAAGTCCCAACTTGCCCAAGAGCTGAGCCTCGGCAGAGAGCCGACCCGGCGGGAGCAAAGTCAGGTGACCCAGAGGGTGGGGTCGGAGGGTGCTCACCGCCAACCCCAAAGCTAGGATGTGCACCGTAACAGCAGTCAGCCCGACAGCCTAGGGACCCAGGGCGTCGGTGCGAACTGCAGAGAAGGGTGGGGTCTTGTGGGGCCCCCACTAAAGGAGGGCGTGCCAGAGCGAAGGAGCATTGGAGGGGGATTTCTAATGCTGTTTCCCTAAACCTAGGGAGGCTCAGGACACAGCAGGACGTGCGGGGACTCCTCACAGCTTTCTCCATTGCTAGAGACACCCCTTCCTTGCGTCACCTCTTCTGGGTCCGAAACTGTCGCAAGAGCCACTGGGCAACGAAGGGCCACAGGATAAAGAAGAGCAGCGCGGGAGCCGAGAGCCCTAGGGGCCAAGGCCGAGTCCTGGGTGGCCTCTGCAGCCAAGAAGGAAGGAGTCAGAAGCCTGCCTGGGTTCAGTACAGTCCTCCTAGTAGCTTGCTTCCAGACTCATCCATTCGGCCTGGCCTCCCTGAGACTGGGAAGATCCTACCCTGCATCTGCTCCACTAGCCTGAAGTTACACCCCCGCCCCCATTCTCTCTCTCTCTCTCTCTCTCTCTCGCTTCCCCTCTCTCCCTCCTCTACTCTC